AGGTGTATTTTACTGAATGAAGACATTTCTGTAAGAGATTTCATAAGCGTATGCCTGACCTTGGCCATCCAATTCATTTTTTCCTTAAGTTGGTAAATTCCTAAATAGTAATTTTCCCGTTATTAGGATTTTCATGAATTCTTTTGGTTGGGGAGGGAAGGGAGCTCTTTGGTTTCTTTTATCTATTTCCCCCACCCATTAGACAGTTCTGAATTCTTAGAGATGGTACTATGACAATAAGGTTTGGGGCCCAGCCTCTCATGCGATGCTAATCCCTCACCTCTAGAAGGAAGTTGAATGGTTTTTCATCAGTAATAAGGCAATATCAATAAACATTTTTTACCGCCTATGCTCACCGGGCGCCGGCCGGCGACTGCGAGGGTGGCAGCGGCCGCAGCAAGGCGTCACTGGCCACTGTCCGTCAAGACCTGGCCATCTAGAACTGCTTTAGGCGGAGGGTGAGATCGGAGGCGGGACCCCACCATTAGGGCGCTCACTGCAGAATTCAGAAGTGGCTTCTGCCAGACCTGTCCCCTGGCCCCACGCAGTGGGGGTGGCCCGCAGGGCAGCCTCTGCAGGTCTCTGGTGTTCCCAGCAGAGCTGGGGCATGGAATGGACTAAGGCGAGTCCTCGATGCCATGATCCAGGTAGAAAAGAAGGCGGCCAGGCGGGCTGAGAGAAAGTGGACAAGTGGAGGGCAGGGCAGAGTGGAAAGTGGAGATTCAGGTGATGACCTGGTTGTTTTACCGAGGACAAAAACAACTGCGACGCCGGCATCCAGAGGGCCTCCCCTCTTTCAGACTGAGGCATGGCCTCTGTGTGGCCCTCTGTGTATGCGCGTACATGTACACATATATATATTGTGAGCGGCGTGGGTGCGCACGTGTAAAACCTCTGTGCCCTTCGTGTGTGTGCATGCACATGAGTATCCTGTGTGAGCCCTGTGTGCATGTGTGTACACATGTGTGCACCCCGTGTGGGGTCTCCGTGGGCATGTGTATGCCCGGTGTAAGCTCTGTGTGTGGGATCTTCGATATGCACTGTGTGGGTGGCCAGGATCCAGTGCCCGCAACAGCCACAGTGGCTCCATCTCTACCTGCAGGGGCATCATGGGAAGGTCTCCCCTCCTGATGGAACCCACACAAGAAGGCAGGGGAAGGGGAGGTGCTCTTCACCCTGAGCAGGCCTGGGTCCCGTAGAGCTTGTGGGCACCATCTACACCATCTAGCTGGTGGCCTGGGCTGGATGGCCAGGCCCTCCCTCTCATGGAGGTAGAGTGGGGGTAGGCAGTGAGGTCAGAGGGCAAGACTCTTTTTCAACTTCACCCTCTTCACCCTGCTGCTGTTCCCCCAGTCCAAAAACATAGTTAAGCCCCTCCCATCCTCAAGAAACCTCCCCTAAACATGTTCCTGGCCCTACATTTCCCTGCAACCACCACCCTGCTCCCTCCTGGGAGAATACACAGAATTGTCTACAGGAGGCCTCCTGTCCCCCTCTCGTCTCTCCTCTGCTCCCATCTGTCTTTCTCCTTTACCACCTCAGTGGGGCCACTCTCTATAAGATCACCCTGGGGCTAAGTAATAACCAGGGGCCACCATCTGACCACACCACTTGGGCTTCCTCAGACCCTGCTGAGCAGACTGCCATGACCCACTCAGCCCGATTTTCTCCTACGTCCCTCACCCTCTCCCCTCTGTCCTCCTCTCTTGCCTCTTCTTCGGCTCTCCTTCCACACAGCAGCTGGAGGGGGCTTTCTAAGTAGCCCCCTACTTAGGCCCTTGGGGTTCCCCTATCCTCAGAGTCAGTGCAGCCCTGCCCTGCTGCCCCACAGGCCCTGCCTCTCAGCCCCATCCCTCTGGCTCCCCAGGGTTTCCATGCTCCAATCCATACTGAAGTTTCTCTTCTGACCAAGCATAGTGACCACTTTTACTTCCAAGTCCTTGAACATGGAGTTCCTTTGCCTGGAGCAGCCTCCCTCTCTGCAGCTACACTCCCCCAACTCTAGCTAATGCCTACCTGCCTTTTGGTCTCGCTTGGGAAGAAAACAGATGCCTTCCCTGACAGCCCCACCTGCAAGTCAGAGCTAGACGCCCCATGGCACTGGTGCTTCCCCAGGCAGAGATCTGCTGGATGGCATTGCTCTCTAGCTAGCCCATAAGAGGTGTTTAGTAGATGTTTAATGAGGAACTTAAGGTGTCCCCGAGGCCCAAGCACTTATCCATGCTCATGGAGTGTTCCACAATCTCTCTGATGACAGTTCTGTGTCTGCAGCCTGGAGCCCTCTACACAAACTCAGACCTGAATGTCCAGCTGTTTTCCAGATGTACTAATTCAACCAATATTTGTTGAGCATTTATTATATGCCAGGCAGTTTTTGAGATAGCACTGTTCCATAGAAATAGGATGTGAGCCACATGTGTAATTTCAGGTTTTCCATTAGCCACATTAAAAAGTAAAAGGAAACAGGCAACATTTATTTTAGTAATATATCTTCTTTAACCTAATATGTCCAAAATGTTATTTCAGCACATCATCAATATAAAATAATGTTGAGATATTTCATATTCTTTGTACTGTTTGAAATCTAGTGTGTATTTTGCACTTGGAGCACATTAGATTTTGGACCAGCCACATGTCAAGAGTCAGTTGCCACATGTGGCTAGTGGCTGTTGTATAGAACAGAGCAGATCCAGATGTTGGGCTACAGTAGTGAACAAAACCTGCATGGAGGTTACATTCTGGTGGAGAAGACAGACAATAAATATAGAATATAACACCAGGTTGCAGTAAGGATAAAGGGAGAGAGAAAGACATCCCTGAAGAGTGACAGTGGAACAGAATATAGCGAGAGGCTAGCCATGAAGTGGTCTCTAGGAAGAGCATTCCAGTTGGAGGGAATGGCAGGTGCGAAGGCCCTGAGGCTTAGGAACATGCTGGGGGTGTTTGAGGCCAGCAAGGAGGCCAGTGTGGCTGGAGTGGAGTGAGGGACAGAAAAAGTGAGGAGTAACCATCGCCTCAAGTTTCTTACTTCTCTCAGTTACTGGTGTCTCCAGCTGGCCAGGCCACCTGCACCTGCTGTTGCCACAGCCCGTCCTCTGCCTGCCTTCCACATGCCATAATCACTTGGTCCTCCTGTTTTACCATCTAAGCATTTCCTCCCCTTGTCCACTCTTCTCCACCCCTTCAGAGGCTGCCCAGGGTCAGCCCCGTCACCAGTGGCCTGGAGTACTCTCAGAACCTCTGCTCCTGGCCCCTGAATTTACAATATGAACACCTCCCTTGCTGGCTTAAGATCCTTCACTATCCATCACCCTCATGATCAAGACAAACTCCTGAACTGGTTTTGACCTGAGCCTGTCCCAGCCTCTATAGCTTCTCCTCTTCCACCATTCCGGTGAAAAACTGAGCTGGTGACAGTTTTTGATCATATGAAGCTATTGATCACTTCTGCATCCCACCTGGCTAACTCTTCCCCTTAGAGATTTAGCTGGGAGGGGGCACTTCTTCCAGGAAGCTCTCCAAAACCTGTCCGAATCCTGGGCTTCCATAGGCCCAAGCAAGCCCCCCATCACTGCCCTTCCCAAGCTGTATCCCGGTCACCATCTTTGAGTCAGTCTCCCCCATGAAGGACGGCACCTGGCACCATGCAAAGCACATGTCACCCCTATGACCATATTCTACTGCAGTGGTTCTCAACCGGGGGCAATTTCCCTGGGGTATTTGACAATGTTTGCAGACACATTTGGTAGTTACAACTGCAACTAGCTTCTAGTGGGCAGAGGCCCAGGATGCTGCTAAACATTCTACAGTGCACCAGACAGCCTCTCAATAAAGAATTCCTGGGCCTCAAATGTCACTTGTACCATAGTTGAGAAACTCTGCTCCACAGCAGTGAGCTGTGAACCATCGTGGGAAACCTCAGGCCCTGGAGGGTCCCAACAGCAAAGTTACTACCCCGAGGGAGTTATTTTGTAAATGTAGGGGACATTGTTCTAGTTGTCACATGAGGGGGTCCCTGCTGGCATTTAGCGGGCAAGGACTAGGAATGGCAAGATGTCCTTCCACAATAAAGAACTGTCACACACAACTTTAGAATGTCCCGCTGGACATTTACGTAGTGAAAAACTTCTTTATAATTTACCTGAGCCCAAACGTGACTGTTTTACGTAAACCATTTTAGGTAAACCATTAAGGGTTTTGGGGATTTTTTTTTTACATAGTTTTGTTATACATTGTCAGTTTTTATTCCAGCATCTACTTATACCTTTAAATTTCCTGTGCTTCATGTACAGAATGGCTTCTGACCTTCTTATTTCTTTTAAATCCAAATGTATTCATTAAAAATAGAAGCAAGCATGAGACTGTCATATATGCCATGTGGTTGTACCCATTTACATATTGAAATTCATAGTATATTCTCTTCATTTCTCCTTCACAATACAGTGTGATAGCATAGTGTGTAGGTATGTTAAATTTTATTTCAGATTTATTTTTTTAAAAAAAGTGTGAGAAAATATTAGAGGAAGAAAGCCTCTGTCCACAAGCTTGCTCCACCCTGGGCCAGATGGTGAGATAAGCATGGGTCTTCCGCCACCTAGTGGCTGAAGTAGAAATGATAGGCAGATCCCAGTGGAAGAAACTCTTTCCTGCCCAGATATCTCCTAGCGATTCTGCTAACCCTTCAGAACACGGCCTCCACTGCCAACTCCCCAGGCCCCATCTGCCACTAACTTGCTGTGTGACCCTGGAGAAGGGCACTGCCCTCTGTGGGCCATAATGTGTAACGTGAGAGGTGGGTAAAATTGGTTTCTGAGGACCCTAGAGGGCTGCCACACTCGATCTTCTCAACCAGGAGCATCCTATCCTGTCTTCTGTGCCTCATGCCCAGGGAGTGACCTTAGGAGTGGGTCAGGGAGGTCAGGATAGTCTGTCCCCTTGGAGGCAGAGGGCTGATGGGCTGGCCTCCTAAGCTTCCATCCCAATCCCATGTTCTTATAAGGTTGCCATGAGCCCCCGACCCTGGTCCTTATGCCAACTGCCACTGCTGCCTTTAAGGTCAAATCTGTGATAACTCCAAAAATAGAATTCCTCTGCGATTAAATGACCCCCACACCCAACCTCTGGCTTCCCAAGGGACAGGAACTCTCTGAGGGCCAACTTCCTCCCTCAGACTGGGACTTTCTGAAAGCTAGGGCTGGCTTCTTGCCTCAGACTGGGAATGTCCTGAAAGTAGGAGTAGCCTCTTCCCCTCTCCCTTCCCCACCTCCAGATTGGGCCTCCCTGACACAGGCCACGTAGGCCCTAGACCAAGGGCTCCCCAAGGGCAGGCCTGTCTTGAAAGACCCAGCACAAGAAAGGCCCCAGTGTTCATACCTGACCCCCCAATCCCCAGCCCCCCGTCCAGACACTGAGAAAAGGCAGCAAGGCGTGTGTAGAATAAATATAACTTTATTCTTTATCCAGTAGATCTCAGTGGAAAGTCCAACAGTAACAGGTGCACCAGCGGGCTCTGGGGGGATGAGACCCCAACCCCGGGGCATGGGGGCAGGGCAGAGCTAGCTCCCCCAGCCCAGGGGATACAGGGGATGAGGGGAGGGGACCCCCTATAGGCCCGTCCTGCGGGGCAAGGAGGGGGCACGAGTGTGGGGTGAGTGGTGTGGGGCAGGCCAGGGAAATGGAACTTGGGCCAAGTGTCTGTTGGCCTGCCTTTCTGCTGTGTGTGTGTGCGCGCGCGCGCACGCGCGTGTATCCGGGGGCCTGTGAATGGTGCTGGTGGCTGTGAGGCTGGGAGGCAGGGATAGATCAGGCCCTACAGCCGGCCCCTTCACAGTAGGGGCTGGAGGGCTTAGATCAGGTGGGCCCCGATTGGGGGGGCGGGGGCGCAGCTCAGCCAAGGACACAGGGCTTATATGTTCTGAGGGCACCCCTTGCTTTGCCCCAACCCATCTCTCGTGGTGGGCCCCCTCCTTCTAGGGGCTGCCTGGAACTGTCCACACCCAGTGGTTAGGCAGAGGGAGAAGGGAGGCTGGCTGCTTCCCCAGCACGAAGGGGTGGGCGGGGGGAGGGGCGGCAGCCTCAGAAAGTTAGTACTTCACAGTTTTAAAGAGAAAACTGAGGAGAAAAAGGCTGGGAAGGACGACTAGGGGGACACAGGGACATGAAGAGTGGGAGCCCCTTTGAGCCACTGCCCTCCCCCAGGACCCAACCCCTCCAGTTCTGGATCCAGCT